CAGCGCTGTCCCCTCAGTCGGGAGCCGCCGGCCGGGCCGCGGGCTGCCCCTGGGGACGGCCGCCCTCACGCAGCACGGCCCCGGTGGAGGCCTCGGGGAGAGCTTTAGGTCCAGCGGGGGAGCGCTGTGAGGAAGGGGGGCTTTGCGCGGCGGCCTTTCCGCCGGCGTGGGCCTGCTGTGCCGTGGTAGCGCGGCCGGGCCGTGCGCTGGGCTCTTCGGAGCGACAGGCCTTCAGGGCTCGCTCGCAGCCTGTGAGGCTTTCTGGCTGTGAGAGAGGGTTACAGGCGTTGTTGAGGAGAAAGAGGAGAGGGGAAGAAACACAAAAGCAAAGAGCAAAACCGCCACGCGGGGCTTGCCCAGGAACTGAAGGGCTTGGGAGCCGCCCCTGTCCGGAGCGTCGCGGCTTTCTCTCTCCTGCTTGGCTCATCCTGGACAAGCGGGGGTTATGTTGCAGAGCTCGCAAGCATGCGGAGTCCTGCCCTCGGGACTCCTCTGTCGATAATGTAAATTATAGGGAGTAACTTGTTATTTATGTGGCCTACGTGTAGTTTGTAGTAGTCTTCTAGCGTTTCTTCTCAGTTTCTCATCCGTAAAATAAACTAGGCCTATGTAGCACGTTCAACACTGACATTCTTCCTGTTGCCTTGCTCAGAAAAAGAGTTTTACTGGATTTGAGGGAGAGTTTTTTTGGATTTTCTTTTCCCTAAGACTCTGCTGCTCCCTAAGTTCTCAGCCTGGATTTAACAAGAGTTAATTAACACTATTACTGGTCTCCTTAATCGTAGTGCTTTTGTAATCTAGACAAATATGAGGAAGTAACTGCTGTACATGAGCAAACCGTGACAATATCGTGGTTGGTTTCAAGTGCCAGTAGTTACTTTGGTGGAAATTTGAGTCTGTACCAATTTGGGATTATGATGGCTGAGAATAGCTCTGACTTTTGTCATCATTCAAAATATTGGTTGTAATGCAGTCATACTTAGCAGGTTTATGTGCAGTTGTTTTTAAAATGAAGATGGAAAATAGGCAACCGTTTTTTAACATGCAAGGAAACTATATCGCTCTCCAAAGTTTAAACTCTAGCTAGGGTTTATTTATACTGTGATTTAATAAAGCCTGAGCATGAGTCAAGGTGTCAACTGGTTTTTCCATTGTGCTGTTCATGGCTTGGTTAAACCTGATCCCCAAGACTTCTGTTCTCATTGCTACAGCTGGTTTGCTGAATGATGGTAATAATTCTGCTCCTCTGTGGAAAAACTAAATAACAAATGTTGGTAAGGGTTGACCTCAAAACTCTTTTTGTTCTTTTTTCCTGCATTATGTAATATTGTTTCATCTAAAGATCGTCTTCGTAACTATTGATTTCCTCTGTAGTCTTCTGAAATAGATAAGGAAGCCCATAGCAGTGTACGGCCTGTGGACTTCGCGTATTTGTTTCCTGTGCGATGGCTTCAGCCAGTCATAAAAGGCCAGATGTGTTGCAGTGACATCGCACAGAGTCAATAGGGAAAGCCTCTGGCAAAGCTGTCCTAAATTAATGAGATGTAAATTTCTCCGTACCCATTTTTTTCCTATGGAATTGAAAATCATTTAGACTTAAGCTCCTGAATATCTTCAGTTGGCGGCCGTGGTGTACATCTTAAGCAGGGTGGCTCTTGTAATGGGAACAATCTAACTGCAGTAACATCATGGTCCATATAAGCTAGTTTATTATGATCCATGATACATATGTAAGTATGTCTGTGTACTCTTGTATCCATATTTTTGGTGATTTGCTTTTGAATATCCCACTTTTAAATGCTTCAGATCATAGGGGTTTTAGCAAGTTCCGAAGCTGAGATGAATGTTGTGGTTTTTTTTACTGATTATCATAGTGATACTTACAGGTCCTGCATAAAAACATGCAAGCTGGGAATGGATTCCATTAGCATCAGCATCTAGCTTTCCCTTCTAAAAACTTGATGTTGCTACAAGAGATCTAAATTAATAGTTTATATCAAAAATAGATTTCTTCAGAGAAAGAACGCATGTGTAACCCAACACTTCAGTAAATGTTAATGAAGATCAGAAGAGAGCATCGCTTGTTGTATGACAGCACTGGGGGAAAAACTGTTATTTGTTGTAACCGATAGTGCTTTATGAGCACTGTACCTTTCAATATCCACAGGCATTCCTAGAATTAAGAAAAATAAGATTAGACGCGTTGTTCAAAAGAAGTAGCACTGTCTTGTACTGAATAGGAAGCAACAACAGAATATAGAATTGGGATATTAAATTTACAAATTCTGACTTTTTCAAAGTGATGTTGCAGTTGTTTTGTGAATGTGTGTTTCTATTAGTAAATAAAAATGGAAATCTGACTACATCATCCAGTGATGCTGAGATTTGCTTAGGATTTTTAGAATTTCCAGGTTTTTTTAAGGAATGTTTTGATTAGCTTTTGACAGCTGAACTCCAGGTTTCCACATTTGTCCAACTTTTCTTTATAACCATGCAGATTCTACTTGCATTATTTTAAATGGGAACTGCTATTGTCACATGATTGCATAAAATGAGGAAGAGTTGCTTCATGAAATGCATCAGATAGCACAAAACCAAGATGAAATCACAAGAACTAGCATTTTGACAACCTCTTCATTTAAAAAATAAATACAGATTTCTTTCCCTATTTATTAACTTTGTCATTCTTAACTTCTGAAGAAGTATCAATGTGGAAATAATAGAAAATAGTTTATTATTCCTGCAAGAAAATGTTGAAGTTTCTGAGGATAATATGTTTATCTTTCATGTAGGATTACTTGTCGTGTATTCTGCATGTTGTACAGTATTCAGTAATTACTGTTTTACAGTGTAGGTTCTGTTGAAGTCATAGAATCGTAGAATCGTTAGGTTGGAAGGGACCTCAAAGATCATCTAGTTCCAGCCCCGCTGCTGTGGAACCTCAACTACACCAGGTTGCCCACAGCCTCATCCAGCCTGGCCTTGAACAATTCTAGGGATGGGGCAGCCACAACTTCTCTGGGCAACCTGTTCCAGTACCTCACCACCCTCAGAGTGAAGAATTTCTTCCCTCTATCTAATCTCAATCTGCCCTCTGTCAGTTTAAATCCATTGCCCCTTGTCCGATCACTACACGCCCTTGTAAAAATTCCCTCTCCAACTTTCCTGTAGGCCCCCTTGAAGTACTGAAAGGCTGCAATAATATCACCCCCGAACCTTCTCTTCTCCAGGCTGAACAGCCCCAACTCTCAGCCTGTCTTCGTAGCAGAGGTGCTGCAGCCCTTGGATCATCTTCGTGGCCCTCCTCTGGACTCGCTCCAGCAGCTCCATGTCCGTGTGTTGGGGGCTCCAGAGCTGAACACAGTACTGCGAGTGGGGTCTCACGAGAGCAGAGTAGAGGGGCAGAATCACCTCCTTCGACCTACTGGCCGTTCTTCTTTGGATGCAGCCCGAGATACAGTTGGCCTTCTGGGCTGCCAGCGCACATTGCCGGCTCATGTTGAGCTTTTCATCCACCAGCACTCCCAAGTCCTTTTCCTCAGGGCTGCTCTCAATCCATTCTTCACCCAGCCTGTAATTATGCTTGGGATTGCCCCAACTCATGTGCAGGACCTTGCACTTGGCCTTGTTGAACTTCATGAGGTTCTCACAGGCCCACCTTTCCAGCCTGTCAAGGTCCCTCTGGATGGCATCCCTTCCCTCCAGCGTGTCCACAACACCACACAACTTGGTGGCATCTGCAAACTTGCTGAGGATGCACTTGATCCCACTGACCATGTCGCCAACAAAGATGTGAAACAGCACCGGCCCCGGTACTGACCCCTGAGGAATACCACTTGTCACTGGCTTCCACTTGGACATTGAACCGTTGACCACAAATCTTTGAGTGTGACCATCCAGCCAATTCCTTATCCACCGAGTGGTCCATCTGTCAAACCCATGTGTTTCCTGTTTAGAGACAAGGATGTCGTGTGGGACAGTACCAAATGCTTTGGACAGGTAGACGATGTCAGTTGATCTTTCTTTATCCATCAGTGCTGTATCCATCAATGCTGTAACCTCATCATAGAAGGTCACCAAATTAGTCAGGTAGGATTTGCCCTTTGTGAAGCCATGTTGGCTGTCACCAGTCACCTCCTTATTTTCTACATGCCTTAGCATAGTTGCCAGGAGGATCTGCTCCATGATCTTGCCAGGCACAGAGGTGAGACTGACTGGCCTGTAGTTCCCCGGGTCTGCTTTTTTCCCCTTTTTAAAGATGTGGGCTGTGTTTCCCCTTTTCCAGCCAGTGAGAACTTCATCAGACTGCCATGACTTCTCAAATATGATGTATAGCGGCTTAGCAACATCATCCACCAGTTCCCTCAGGACCCACGGATGCACCTCCTCAGGTCCCATGTACTCGTGCACCTTTAGGTTTTTTAGATGGTCTCGAACTTGATCTTCTCCTACGGTGGGCGGTTCTTCATTCTCCCAGTCCCTGCCTTTGCCTTCTCTGACTTGGACTGTGCAACTGGAGCTCTTGCCAGTGAAGACTGAGGCAAAGAAGTCATTGAGAACCTCAGCCTTCTCCATATCCCGGGTAGCCAGGTCCCCTGTTTCTGGTAGCCAGGTCCCCCGTTTCTTTCCGGAGAGAGCCTATGTTTTCCCTAGATCTCTTTTTATCACTGACATATCTATAGAAGTTTTTCTTGTTGCCCTTGATGTCTCTGGCCAGATTTAAATCTATCAGGGCTTTAGCTTTCCTAACCTGATCTCTGGTTGCTCAGACAATTTCTTTGTATTCCCTGCAGGCTACTTGTCCCTGCTTCCACCCTCTGTAGGCCTTCTTTTTGTGTCCAAGTTGGTCCAGGATCTCCTTGTTCATCCATGTGGGCCTCCTGGTGTTCCTACCTGACTTTGTCTTTGTTGGAATGCACCGCTCTTGAGCTTGGAGGAGGTGGTCCTCGAATATTATCCAGCTTTCTTGTGCCCCTCTTCACGCCAGGGCTTCATCCCATAGTACTCTACCAAGAAGATTCCTGAAAAGGCCAAAGTCTGCTCTCAGAGAAGACGCAGTCCTGGAAGTAAGATGATGTTGACTGTCATGTAAGATGGAGGAGAGTGCTGTCACTGAGTTACTACTGAGCTATTTAGATTTATTTATTTTTAAAATAATGTCTAATAGCAAGTTGTTCCTGAATGTGGAAGACCGTAAATACGAAAAAGTTGTATTCTCTTGAAACAAACTGATGATTGAGGTTAGTAGAACTATTGTGCCCTGAAACTGCAGTCTTATGCAATATTTTGTTGACTCTACCTGGTGATCAGCTTGCTCTGGGTGATTGATTGTTCTTTTAATTAATAATCTAGTTGGGGGTAATTGCAGATGCTGTTCTATAAAATATTAAGCATTTGCTATGATTTTTAAAGCGGTTTGCTTTGGTATTTTGTGGATAGAGTTCCAGCAGATGATTTATGTACTATGTAACAGAACTATTTAGTATTCTTTATTTTAAAAATGCTGGTTTTGTATAGAATTTTAAAATTGAACGGTAGGTGAAAGATGCGAGAGGTCCACAGACTTATGTTGTGAATTGAGTCATGAAGCTGGGTCCACATGACAGCTCATGACTAAACTGGAATTTCAGCTTGGTGTATCCGTGATTAGAGTACAAAATGTTTTTGTTAAACGAACTGCTATATTGTAATTTAAAATATGTGGTATAGAAAGATATTATTTACTTGAAATAAGAAGAAATGATCTTTAGTAATGATTTTCATTAAGGCAAAATGATATTTCAGAAACTTAATTTAAATTCAAATATAACTATACATTCACACACGAGTCTATATGTAGATTATTACAAAGACCTGGTGAAATGTCAGTGCAAAATAAATGTCATTCCTTTTTTATGAATTTTAGAAATCATCTGTACAGACAATTGGTGAAGAACAAATACAGAATCCTTACACGGAGCTCCTTGTGTTGAAAGGTCATCAAGATATAGTACGATTTCTAGTGCAAATAGATGACTGCAGGTATGAAATTGCATTTCAAATTGTTTCATAGCATCCTTGGCAATACGTTAGAGATTATTTATGAAAATGTAGTAATATTTTTAATCCTCACTTTTTCTTTTTGAAGGGGGAGGGCAGGAAAAGCCTGGAGTTAAAAAAGGCAAGAGATGAACACTCTCTTTTCTTGATATGTTACTCCATATTTTTACTTCTCTTGTAAGTTTTACTTTCATGAGAAAATAATGGTGATGGAGTTATGTTTCTTAGTACAAATTAATTTGTTCAAAGGAAATCCCTCCAGCTAACTCGGCCCTTTTTTTTCAGGCTGTTCTGAATTGAACATTCACTTCTGTACATGCATACATACTTTCTCCCAGGGCAGTAGGCAGTAGTGTCTGCTTCTTTTCTGTGTGGATGCATGTGTTTAATGATTTTAAATTGAGGACAGCTATTTCATCTTTTGGTTCTACAAAAGAATGTAATAGACTCTTACAGATACACTGTAGCATGTTGCTGTTCCTTTCTTTCCAATATTTTGTTACACGTTCTTCTGAAGCTCTAGTGCTTAATTCACTTGAGCTTTGGTTAATGCAACTTTTCTAAATTTCTCAAATTTTGAAATTTTCACCACTTTATTCAGAATACCTGCTTAGTAAAATTCAACATATGTCTAATCTCTACATTACATATCTTCTCCAATTGGATCTTGTTCAGCTTGCTGTACTTCTTTGAAGTCTAACAGTTCTTTTGTTTCTCTTTTCCAGTTTTTAGCTTTGTGCACTTTTTTTGTATATTCCCTAACAGTCTTTATCTGATCTGTTTTTAGTTCCTTGTAACTATGTCCAACTCTATTGCGAACTCTGAAATTAATATTAAGTCACTACATTTACCATTGTCACTTTGGAAGTGTGACTGAGAGAATTAATTACGATAGTTTTACGTTAACGACCTGGCGTCTGTCACAGCTTTGTCTAAATTAGCCTTGCATGTTCTCTAATTTTAACTTAATCCTGCAAGAGAGGAAATATTTATCTGCCTTAAAAGTAAGGTTGTGAAGCTTTTAGTCAATAATAAGTGTAGTGACTTTTGGCTGATGTGGAGAATTAAATAGAAAACCTTTAGAACTAAGAATGTAAGTAATAGGCAAGAGTCTCTCTCTGAAGGAGCTGTAGTAATTTATATCTTTTATGGATTAGGCACAGAAGGGGATTTCTAATATATTCATCAATACACTACACAAAGTTAACATGGATAAGAGTTTAGTTTATATCCTTGCAGAGTACAGCAGGTATTTTGTGAAAGAAGGTTTTCTTCTTCTCCATGTATTTCACAGAAGACTCCATGGAGAACTTCTAGCTTGTCAGTTTTCATTGTTAGTGTCATAAAAATATATATCAGAAAAGATATATGCATTACCATAAAATTTATTTTTCTACATTATAGTAATCCACCAGAAGATTAATACAAAAATAAAAGAATCTTGTGGGTTTTTTTTAGTCCTCTTTTTTTTTTTTCCCCAGCCAAGTTATTTTAATAACCTTTCCTCAAAATACATTTTTCCCAAAACACATACTCAATAAATGTAACTGGTCTTTATAGGAATACTAGAGTATTCTTTGATTGCACACACTGGCTGATGCAGAGAAATCTTCTACCATTTTGGGCTTTATTGTATGGTAGCAGGTAAATTATTGAAGCTAAACTAATGATAATCAGTGTAAAACTAAAGCCTGGATGGCCGCATTGAAGATCGGTTATAAAATAGCATATGGATAAGGAATAAGTTATATAGCTGGTTAATATTCTGAGAGTTTGAGGACTTTAATAAGTCACTTCACTGGACAGTAATTCTAAAGTTTAATTTATCAAGAATATGGTAGTTTCTGGATTGTTAAAGAGCTGATAATATTTTTCGCTTGATTCTTTTCAGTAAAATTAGTATTGTTACTCAGCTTCTGAAATGTTTTTATTTAGTTTCTGCAGCATTCCATTGTGTGCTTTTTGTCAACTATTGTAAGCCAAGTTTCACGCTTCAGGTCTTTAGATAATGTCATCTTATTGAGAGTTTTGCAGAAGGATTTTCTTGTTTTCTCAGTGGCTCAGCTAAAACCAGTGAGTGGAAAATTTTCTCAGATTGGTTTTTGAAGATACTAAATAAATCCTGTATAAATGTAACAGAAAGCTGCTTTTTTATCTTCTTTTCTCTTGTACTTTTTGAACATGAAGTAAGGGTCATATTGATTGGAAGATCCCTAAAGAAGGCTAAGCCTCAGCAAGAGTCTTCGAAAAATGGGCTGAGATAAAATTGCATGTAATACCCTAGCATTTGACACATTAAACTAAACAGAGTTCATAACACGTTTTAAGAAGAGCTTTTTTTGTTGGTCATTTGACCATTCGTTGCTCCTTCAGGAAACAGACAAGGTTATAGATGATGGTGATCATGACTGGAAAAGAATCAGGTGACCCATGTATCTCCCCATTGGTGAACAGAATGTAACTGTAGGATAACTGACTCTACAATATACATTTAAAAAATATATATATTATTTAAATATATATTTAAAATAATAAAAGATATGAAGAAAGTACTGCTTACACTTTTTTTTTTCCTTTTTACTATAATAGAATAAAATGTGGAGGATATGTGGAAGAAGGAAGAGGAAAAACCTTTATGGCTTTATGCCTGAAAACTTATTCTATTAGCAAGTTTCACAAACATTGTAATTGCAAAGCGTCTAAAATGACAGGCATGTATATAGTTAATGAAACCATTCACAGCTGGTAACAGAAAAAAAATCGGAAATGATGTAACCTGTCTTATTCATTACTTTCTTGCACATAGTACAAATCTTAGTTAATTCTCTAAATAGTAATTGTTTAATCCTTGGTGAAGGCTTAAAACAAAAGGAAAAAATCAGAAAGGCATATTTGGAGGTAACAACTGAATTCAATTTTCTATGGAAGGTCTTACTTCTGTTCTAGGCTTTCTCAACTCAATATGCCTTTACTGGGGTAGCTGGGATGTGTACTTCAGCTATGGTGTAGCTGTTGTAGTGATGTAGGCAGATGGTTAGATATTCACTCTAGCCTAGGGAAGAATATTGAATTTAGGTCAGGCTTTGTAAATGTGGGATTAACATGCTAATATGTTTTTTCCTTTTATAGTATGCCTTCTAGCTGGATTTTTAGCAGAAGTCAAAGTTAGCACCTTAAATGCACTCTCTGCAGGAGTTCTTTTACGCCACAGTTTAAAGTATCATGATAAATACTGGACTCCTTTACTCCTGGGCTCAGATGAGTGGTTTGTAACTTGTTAGATGTCTTTCAGTCAGTCAGCTCTGACTAATAGTATTTGGTTTTAGAGTTCGATGTTACTTGATATGTAAGATCTCATATTTTTAAACAACAGAATTGGTTCTGTAGTGTGGGATTCTATTTATAATAGCATGTATTGGAATTCTTAAGCCTTGCCCTTATATTAAGTGTATATTGATAATCATCTATTTAAATGTACTGATTTCAGTTTATAAGCTGTAATTGAGATTTATGCATACATGTTTGTTCTTTGAAGCCAGAGTCTGATATATCTTGTAAACATTTTTCTTACATAACTGTTTACTGCTTTGCCATTATGTTATGCTATATTGAAGGTTCACAGCTTTCCCCACCCCCCCACCCCAGGTTTGCATCTGCGGGAGATGATGGAATCGTATTTCTGTGGAATGCTCAGGTTAGCTCTAATTTTTTTGGGGTAGCTTGCGTGCTTTGGAGAGGGATGAAGTAGGGGAGAGGAGTTAGAAATGTCTATTAGTGAGAAAGCAGAATAAATAAGAGTTGCTGCAGAGCTACTGTTTGAAAATGTAAAAGCGGAGGGAGTCTGCCAAATCTTAGTTTACAAAGGAGAGCTAGGAAAGTAAAAGTGTGAACCCAAGAGAATAGTAAGTTTTAAAAGTTAGAATGTTTTGGGAAGACATGGTGATTTTAGAGAGATTTGAGGTGAAATGATGTGAAAAGCAGAAATATGTATAAACTTCCGGCTTTAATTCTTCTTTTAAAATATGTTCGATGTTTGCTGTAAACACTGGAATGTTGACCAATGACACAACAAATATGTAGCAAGGTCCCAGTCCTGCCAAGATTTGTATATATACTTATGTTTTAAATAAATATAATTTTTCTATTAGCAATATATATTCGTGGCATAAATGGTTAGACTAAATGGAGAGCTAGCACAAACTGTACTGGAAAGACACCAAAGTCAGCGGAAGTTAAACATTTCATGTGGTTCAGAAACAAGGCCTTAATTGCTTGCTGTGATAAAAATCTTCTATAACTTTTGAAAACTGTACTAAGATATTAGATTTATTATGGAAATAGTGCTCTCTAAGTGCGATACCCACTGTTCTGCTCTTCCGCTCTGTGCCTCCGTATCATTGATAAAATTATGGAGAAGGGGTGACCATTAGACCTGTGTTAAGGATGGCTAGTATACAAGTTAAATTGTTCAGCA